CAATGAAATTCAAATTTCAGTGGACATAAAGTTTTACAGAGGTACAGCCTCACCCATTCATTTACCTATGGCTGCTTCTATGTGATGCCAGCAGGCTTGAGTAGTTGCCAGAGACCATATTATCCCCCAAAATGTGAACTATTTACTACCTAGTTCTTTGCAGAAAAAGTTTGCCAACACCTACTCAAAGTCTGGTCGGTGGTAATTGTTTGTTATCAATCTGCAATGAGATAAACACAGAAATTGAAAGTAAGATTAGAAACTTTTGGCTGGGCGAGGTGGACTCACTCCTATAATCCCAGCACTTTGGGAGGCTGAGGCAGGAGTTGAACTCTTGAACTCTTGAGCCCAGGAGTTCAAGACCAGCCTGGGCAACACAGTGAGATCCCCCTGCCAACCCGTCTCTTAAAAAAAAAGACGACTTTTAATAATTTGACAGTCTGTTTTTAATTGTTAATATAAAAATTTTAAATTGGGGATGTTTGTTGTATTTTTCATTTTGCATTTCTGGTCATTGATTTTTATTATTTTCTACTAACTTTTTAGTCCATAAGGGATCAAAAATAGTAAAATACAAAAACTGATCCCTCACTACAGATGATGTGTGTTTTAAAAACATTCTTATAAATATCAAATATTGTTCTGTAACTTGCCTGTTTTTCTGTTTTTTTAACCTGAGATATGCCCATGTTGAATACATAAGGTCTTGTGCATCCCTTTTGTCTGTTGCATGATAATATTATTGCATGCTGATTATTTACTCATTCTCCTTCTCACGGACATGTACGTTGTTTCCAGTTTTTTGCCAGTGCAGACAACGCTGCTCTGAGCATCCTGAACCTGTCTCCTGTACAGATGTGGAAGAGATTTTCCAGGGTAAACACCCAGTGAGGAAATAGCTGGGCCTCCAGATTTCTGCATCTTCAACATTACTAGAATCCATCAAATTCTAATTTTTGCAAAGTGATGGCACCAGTTTACATCACTGCAGAAGCGCTTTAGAGTTTTTGTTCTCCAAGCCTTGCAAACATTTACTATTGGCTGATGTCTGAGTTTGGGTTTAAAATTCTTAGCTTTGAACAAGCTTCAGACCTTTTTAGGCGTGGAGGCGGCGGCGAGAGGTTTTACCTTTTCCCCTCCCTCCCTCCCTCCCGCTGTATCTCCAATTTCCTCCAGTTTCACCTGCCTGCCCGCTGTGAGCTGACCTGACCTGACCTGGGGCTGCACCTCGACTGATTTTCATAAAGCCTCCCTCCCGGTTCTCGTGCACACCCCACGGCTCAGCATCTCGTGTTCTCTCAGCTCCATTAACCAGGGGCTGCCCTAGGAGGGAGCAGGAGTTCCTGGCAACAAGTGACAAGGTAGGCTTGACAGGCAAGCTCCTTTGCTTTGTGTCTCTAGTACATGGAGCAGCGTGCAGCACAGGAGAGAGTCCCCAATCACTATCCAATGAATGAATGAAGAGCGAAAAGGCAACTAGGCTGTCACTTATTGAGCAACTACTTTGTGTCAGATCGATGACCAAAGTATCTGCGATTAAATCCCCTATATGGCCCTTGGTTAGATGACGAAACAGTCTCAGAGAGGTAAGGTCATTTGCCTGCCGTCACAGGATCAATGAAGAGGAGATCTGGGACTTGACTCTAGCCCTGCCTGACTTCAGGGGCCTCTGGCTCCACTGCCTGACTTAGGGCTGTTTCCACTGCCTCTCTTAGGGCTGCCCTGTGGCTTCCTCCCCGTTTCTGCCAGGCTCCAGTCCACTTCCCAGGGACTAGTCTGGCTGCTGAGTCCAGCTCTCCAACACCAAGAACTAGTTCCCCTGAAACCCAAAGCTCCTACAGATGGTCAGGCAGGCCCTCCGCAGGCTGCTTAGACACAGTGGTCTGTCCACCTTCATAAGCCCACCTGCTCCAGCTGCCCGTCCCTCTACCCCATCACGCTAGAGGGTGAGGTTGTGAGGAAAGGAAGGAGAGAAGGTGGAGGTTGGAGAAAAGTGGGGGTGCAGAGCAGGAGAAACCAGAGGACCAGGAGGAAGAACAGGAAAAGGGCGAAGACGACGGAAGCAGAGCAACGGCGGCAGGAGGAAGATGGGAGCGCTCAAGTTTATAAGAGACCATTAGTTTGGACTGAGCTCCTGCCCTAGGCCCCACTGACCAAATCAAAATGGAGTGACTCGTGCTGACATGCCACACCAGCAAGCCCAAACCAAGGTGTTTGCCCAGCCTTCCAGTTTCAGCCGGCAGGAGAAAGAAGTTCCTTAGGATTTAACCTTTACAGGGAAAGTAACTTTGAAAGGACCATTCTGCTTTTTTGTTCTCTGTATCTTCTTCCTTCTGCCTGTTGCTGTCTGTAAATCTCTTCTGTTCAACTCATCCAGACACATATTCTATTTTACAGAATGAGATATTGTTGCTCAATTCTACAATGGCAAATAGTAGTCAATTAAAGGCTGGGTGCGGTGGCTCACGCCAGCACTTTGGGAGGCCAAGGCGGGTGGATCACCTGAGGTCAGGGGTTCAAGACCAGCCTGACCAATATGGCGAAACCCCCTTTGTAACTAAAAATACAAAAATAAAAATAGCCGGGCATGGTGGCATGTGTCTGTAGTCCCAGCTACTCCAGAGGCTGAGACAGCAGAATTGCTTGAACCTGGGAGGTAGAGGTTGCAGTGAGCTGAGATCACGCCAGTGCACTCCAGCCTGTGCGACAATGAGATCACGCCAGTGCACTCCAGCCTGTGCGACAATGAGATTCTATCTCAAAAAAAAAAAAAAAAAAAGTCAATTAAGGCCTTTAAACTAAATTTGTTGTAATTTTGTGACAGGAATGAATGAGTGAACTGGTAAATGAACATATGGAAGGTGTTTCCATCCAGGCCATCTGACAAACTCCTATTCCTCCTACAAAACCCAAGACGACTCCTCCCGGGAGCCTTCCTTGCCCACACACCACCCCCCCACAGCCACTTCTCACACTGTGCTTTTACCCAGGGCCTTGCTGTGTGACTGTCTCTGCCCTAAACTTCATTAAGTGTCATCTTCTGGACTCTCCACCGCAATCCTCTGAGCGGCATTATTGCTCCTATTTTAAAGGAAACCGAAGCACGGAGCGGTTGGTCTGTCAGATGCCCAAGTGGCGGGACTGGGGTTTTGCTCCGTGGCTTCCAGTGACATCATGGGTGAGAAAGGGCCTCGGAATCTTGGAATCACCTTCCTAAGGCAAAGAACGGTTGCTGGATTTTTTTCTCTCCCCCTCCCGAGTTTTGGAAAGCAAAGACATGGGACTCTGGAGGCCTGCCCCAGCACTGTCAGTGGCCCAGAGGTCACACTGTTCGGGCTCCGGGCTGAGCCTCAGTTTCCCTACTGAGGGTGAGGAGGTGCGGTGGCCCCGCCAAGCTTGGGCTGCCCGCCTGACGGCGCTAGCCTCCAATCAGAGCCTGCGCAGCTCGGGTCACCCAGCCGGGAACCCCGAAGATGACGCTTTGCTGACACCTAGTGGCTACAGGAGGAAGTGCAGCCTTGAGGACTGGAAGAAAGGATCGGCCAGGTGCTGCAGAGACCGGAAGAGGGAACTGTAGGCCCCAGGGGAGGTGAGTAGGGATACGCACAAAGCACTCCTCACGCGAGAGAGGAGGAGGAAGAGAGAGGACGGGTAGGGTACTCTCTAGAAACTCCCCAGGAAGGCTGGAAGTCCGAGGTTAAGGAATTGGCAGGGTCGGGCCCCTCTGGAGGCTGCCAGTGACACTCCTTTCTCCTCTACCTTCTGGTGGGTGGCAGACAATCTGTGGCACTTCTGGCCTTGCAGAAACATCACCCCAGCATCATCTTCACATGACATTCTCCCTGTATGCGTGGCTCTCTCCAAGTTTCCTGTTTTCATAGACACCAGTCACATTCCATTAGGGGCCCACCCTACTCCAGTATGATCCACTAATATAACTAACTACATTTGGCCAGGCATGGTAGCTCACACCTGCAGTCACAGCACTTTGGGAGGCGGAGATGGGATGACTGCTTAAGACCAGGAGACCAGCCTGGGCAACACAGTCAGTCCGCCCCCCACCCCCCAATCTCTACATAAAATAAAAAATCAGAGAGGTGTGGTCATGCACGCCTACGGTCTCAGCTTCTCCAGAGGCTGAGGCAACAAGATCACTTGAAAGCCCACGAGTTGGAGGCTGCAGTGAGCTATGACTGTACCACCACCCTCCAGCCTGGACAGCAAAGACCACAGCGCTTCAAAAAAATTGCACTTGCAATGACCCAGTTTACAAATAAGGTCACATTCTCTAACGTACTAAGGATTAGGATTTCAGCATATGAATTTGGGGGGTTCTCATTCAATCCATAATAATCACCATTGCTCTACTCTCAAACTATTACAATCCACCCCCACACCCCCAAGTGAGAGCTTCTAGGGGTAGAATCTATTACTTTGTATCCCTACTCTGCCCAGTTCCAGGAAATAGGCACTAAGTATCAGGTGAAGAATCAATGAAGAAATGCATGAGAGTAACATTTATTTAGTGTTTATTAGTTTCCACCTTTATGATAATCATTTTAACCACTTTTAACAAGGTTTTCCATGTGCCCCCACATCTCTGAGCATTCCAGCCACCACCGTGCCTTTGTGGAGTTTCTCAGAGCTATCAGGCTCCTCCCACCACAAGGCCTTTCACATGCCACTCTCATCTGGGACACTCTTCTTTAGCCTCTTTAGCCCTGCAACCTCTAACTCTTCCTTGAGATCTCAGCTGGAGTCTTTTCCTCAAGGGAAGTAGCTTAGACTTGTGTGGATTCTGTTTTTTTAACTTTTAAGTTCGGAGGTACATGTGCAGGTTTGTTATAAACTCGTGTCATGGGGATTTGTTGTAGATTATTTCATCACCCAGGTGCTAAGCCAAGTATCCAAATAGGCACGCAGTAGGTATTGGTTGAAGAATGAATGAAGAAATAGATGACAGTAACATTTATTGAGCACTTAACTGTTTTTTTCTAAGTTCTGGGATACGTGTGCAGAACGTGCAGGTTTCTTACATAGGTATACATGTACCATGGTGGATTGCTGCACTCATCAACCCATCGTCTAGGTTTTAAGCCCTGCAAGCATTTGGTATTTGTCCTAATGCTCTCTCCTTGCCCCCTAACCCGACAGGCCTGGGTGTGTGATGCTCCCCTCCCTGTGTCCATGTGTTCTCGTTTTTCCACTCCCACTTGTAAGTGAGAACATGCGGTGTTTGGTTTTCTGTTCCTGTGTTAGTTTGCTGAGAATGACGGTTTCCAGCTTCATCCATGTTCCTGCAAAGGACACGAACTCATTTTTATGGCTGCATAGTATTCTACGGTGTATATGGAGCACTTACTGGTTTCTACCTTTATGATAATCATTTTAACCACTTTAGCTCATTCAACAAGATTTTTCCATTTTTCCAAATGTGAGGGAACGCTTCTAAATGGAGTCCTAAAGGGGAAAGAACATCTAAAACATTCCTAAAGAAGAATCATGTTATAGGGCAGTGGTCCCCAAATATTTTGGCAGCAGGGATCGATTTTGTGGAAGACAATTTTTCACGGGCTGTGGGCAGCGGACATTAGATTCTCATTGGAGCATGCAACCTAGATCCTTTGCAAGTGCAGTTCACACAATAGGGTTTGCACTCCTATGAGAATCTAATGCCCCCCCGCTGGTCTGACAGGAGGCGGAGCTCAGGCTGCAATGCCCACCTCCTGCTGTGCAACCCCCATTTCAGGCCGTGGACGGCCCAGGGTTTGAGGGCCCCCGTTTTAGGGACCTCAACACTGACTACAAAGCAATAGTCGTTAACAATGTGGCAAGAGTGCAGGGATACACAGACTACAGGAACAGAAAAGACAGCCCATAAAATCACCCCACCTGTGGGGAAGGGGATGGAGCAGCAAGGTGACTGCACCACAGCGCAGCAAATGGACTCCTTCATGAATTGACACTGGACTTCCAAAGAGAAAAAAAAAATAAAAAACTGAATCTCTACCATACACCATATACAAGAATCAGCTCCAGACGGATTAAGAACACAAATGTAAAGAGCAAATGTTTAAAAAGTTTAGAGAAATAAATGTATTAGGGAATTTCTTTGTGACTGGGGATTAGAAATAATTTATTCAAGGTTGGCCGGGCGCAGTGGCTCATGTCTGTAATACCAGTACTTTGGGAGGCTGAGGCAGGCAGATCACAAATGTTCAGGGATCCCGAGACCAGCCAGTCACTCAAGAGGCAAGGGAATTGCAAGTCAGGTGAAGAAACAAAGGCTCAGAGAGATTGGGTACTGTGTCCAAGGTCACACAGTTAAGAGCTAAGCAGCTGCAGAGAACCGTAAGACTCCCTAAAGGTTCTGTTGCCCTATTCCTAGCCCAGATACTTGCCAATTCTTATTTCTATCACACACACACACATGCGTGTGCACGCACATACACACCCCCCAGCTGCCAGGGGAGATCAAAGACCCACAAGCAGACAAGTTGCAAGTCACACTTTACTCACTCTCTGGGAGGTCTGGAGGGTTCCTGGGCAGCAGGTCTGGGTCCTGGGAAGGAGGCATGGTGGGGAGGGCACTAGTTGGAGGGGTGGAAGGCGCCAACATTGGTACCACTGCGTATCACAGATGTGGCACACGGACTGTACCTGCGGGTGACATGCCCCGAGGTCGCTGCTGTCCTTGTAGTCTCCCTTCTCCAGCAGGTACTGCAGCCCATGGTAGCCGGGGTACTGGTAGCCAACCCACCTGCAGGACTAGAGGTGAGGGGAGGGTGAAGCGGGGGAACAGGAAGAGAAACAAGAGAGAAGCGAGGGGAGAGCATCCATAAGCCACTAGGAAGGGTGAAGCCTCCCAACCACTGCCACTTCCCAGGAGTAAGCAAGACACCGTTTCCACCCCACCCTTCCAGCACTGAGCCTCTGCTTTCTTCCTTCTCTTCACAGGAAGCTCACTGCCTCCTGAAGCAAATTTTGACTGAAGGCCTGGTACTGGGGTCAGAGCAAGCGGGTGGTATCTTAAGCTCACTGAAGTTTAGAATAAGCCAGGCCTTTGAACCATCTCCATCCACTCCTATTCCACCTCCAAGCTCAGCTGCAAGGCCAAAGAAGAGCTGGGGGAGGTTCCAGGGGCTACTTGATGAAAGTGCTGGTCTTCTCTCCAGAAAATGGTACACAGGCCTGGCCTGCAAGGACCTGCCTGGCCAGTCTCTGTGGACATCTCCAGCTCTACCTTCGCATTCTTATGATCCCACATCTCTGCATTCCAGCCAGTGGCCTTTGTAGAGTTTCTCAGACCTACCAGGCTCCCCCCACATGCACCACAGCGCCTTTGCACATGCTGTTCTTGTTGCCTGGGACGCTCTTCCTTGGCCTCTTTACCCCTACAATTCCTAACTGTTCCTTGAGATCTCAGCTCAAGAATCTTTTCTCCAAGGAAGTAGCTTAGACTCATGTGGATTCTTAAATTAACAATTGCCCCTTCTAGACTGTTGGCTACACAGGGCAGAAGCTAAACCTCTTTAATCTCCTTCACCATCGGCACCTAACACAATGCCTGGCATATGACAGCACTGACAAATTGAATGAATGAATGAATGAAGGGAATGAGGGAATGAAGGAGAACAGGAGTACAGAACTTTGCACACCACTTTAGGAGTTTGACAAACCCCAAGAAGCCAGTATGTTTGGCTAAACTGGTTCTGTTGGGGAGAAAGAGCCTTAATTCATAGTACTTGCTCATTTCTATGCTGTAAATGCACCCACGGTGGCTGGTTTCAAGCTACCAATGATTAGTCAACCAGTTCACACAAATTCTGAAAATGTCAGAGTTGGTTCCAGGCTGGGTGCGGTGGCTCACGCCTGTAATTCCAGCACTTTGGGAGGTTGAGGCGGGCAGATCTTGACCATCAGGAGTTTGAGACTAACCTGGTCAACACAGTGAAACCCCGTCTCTACTAAAAATGCAAAGAATTAGCTGAGCTTGGTAGTGGGCACCTGTAATCGGAGCTACTTGGGAGGCAGAGGCAGGAGAATTGCTTGAACCTGGGAGGCGGAGGCTGCAGTGAGCCAAGATTGTTCTATTGCACTCCAGCCCAGGTGACAGTGCAAGACTCCATTTCAATTTAAAAAAAAAAAAAAAAAGGTCTTACAAGCTGGTATAAGCTGTTCAGCACACCGCTGCCCAAAGCTCATCTGTGGACCCCCAATGGAATCCAAATTTTTTATCATGAGAAATCCCCCATTGCTGATGGCCAGGGTCGATGTGCCCAGGAACTTCAATTCAGAGGAAAATGACACCTCCTGTTCCCAAACTTAGGGACACACGTGGTCAAAGGCAGCATGGGCTGGTCCTCCTGCTTCTCACAGCTTTCAGACTACTCAACTCATTCCTTCCCTCCTGCCTCAACAACCTAATCCTCCCTCTGCCTCAACTTGCCCCTCTGACATACATGTCTTGCTCACTGGGGCTGAGGTAAAGGCCAAGGTTTCTCCACTCCAAAGGCCGTTTCCCCAAAGGCAGCTCTAGAGAGAAATTCAGGGGCTGTAAGCCACCTGTGGGCAGAGAATTCCCATTTACTTTCCAGTGGGAAGTCAGAGGTCAGCAGAGTACACTGATGTGTGCCAGATCACCAGTGTACACAGAGCAGAGCAGGACTTAGGACCCGAGAGTCTCAGTTCCTGGGGCAGGGTGAGCCAGGGCTGGCAATGCACTTACATGCCACACTGCACCCGCACAGATGACACCTTCTCCTGGTAGCCGTGGGCGTGGAAGCTGGGTATGTCGTCATCTATGATTTCCATCTTCTTCCTGGTGAAGTTGGGGTTTTCATAGAGAACGATCTTGTGCTTTTGGCTGTCCTATTGGCAGAGGATGTGGGGAAGTGAGTATGGGTGACGGGGCCCAGGGTTGGCCTTCCCACCCCATGCTCATGCCCCAGAGTTGGGATCCGCATGTCCCACACATCACTCTCTGCCCAGTGCACCTACCACGTGTCTATGACAACTGCTGTTGGATCGCAGCCATTTGTTAAGTTCCTACTGGGCCATTTTCATGTAACAGACACTCTGAGATGCTACACTTTGGGGAATATTTGATTCCAAAATGCCATTTTTCCTCCTATGCCTCAAGTTTCTCTTTTATAAATGGCAGCTATGATCTACCACCCACTCACAAGTGCGCACCCACACATGCACACACAGGCACATACACAGAGGCATACTCACAGGCATACACACACAGGCACATACATGCACACACACACATGCACACCCACACATGCGTGCACACACACACATGCACACACACACACAGGCACATTCATAATTATGCCATTTGGCAGATGAGAAAAATGAGGCACAGAGAGGTCAAATGACGTGCTCAAGGTCACAGAGCTGGGAGCAGCACAGCCAATATGGCAACCTGGGTCTGTGGGGTGTGAAGTCCAGTGTTCTCCAACCTTCCAGTAGGTCCTGGGAGGAGCTAGACTGGGCTTGGAGGGTTTGGGAGTGTAACTGAGCAGTGATGGGCCCTGTCCCCTCCCCGACAGTTCACACACTCACACACTAGTAAGAATCAGGATCTCAGAAGCACTGAAAACTCACACTGGCATGAGTCTTGAAGAAGAGCTAAACCACCTTCTCCTCCAGTCCTGAACTCAGAATTTCTTGTATTTCTTATGGCTATTGATTATTGAGCAACGACTCTGTGATGGGAGTTGCCCAACCCTGCGTGGTGGGGGGGCACCAACCACGTAAAATAGAATGTGAATAGTACCCTCTGGAGCATTTCACAGTCTTGTGATTGGAGACCCCTGGAGTTGCGCAGCGTGACAACCCTCAAGCTAATAAGCACATTGGAATCTCAGGACAGTAGATACCAATATGCCCATTTTACAGATGAAGAAACTGAGGCTCAGGGAAGTAAAATGACTTTTGCAAGGCCACCCAGTGAGGAGGTTCCTCACCAATCAGAAGGGGCACAATGCTAGAGGGGCAGGCTCCTTCCTGGTCTCGGGACCTCCGGCTCCAAGGTGGCAGAGACAGAAAGTAGGATGATGGGCAGAGAGAGGAAACAAAATGATGGCAGGGGGCTCACCACTTTGATGGGCCTCAGGGAGCTGAGGGAGTCCGTCCTCCGGCTGCTGGTCCACGAGTCCCAGCAGGGGTACTCGCCCTTCTCAAACACAAACTGCTCGCCCTTGCAGTTGGCCTGTTCATAGCCCACCCAGCTGCCATGGAGACAGAGAGAAAGGGGGCAGGTCAGTTCCACTCCAAGCTTCCTATGGCAGGATCCTGGCTACTCACGTTGACCCCTGGGGTTCACTCTTGCCCAACCCGGCAAGATGTAGTAGCCCCACCCGAACCTTAGCACGGCAAATCCAAGCGCACAGTCCCCCCAGTTATCCAGAACTCAGTGCTATGCTGCCTTTAACCACCTGGAACACAGTTAAGAAATAAGAAGGCAGTCTAAGTAATGGCCCGCAACAAATACCAATATATAGATGCCATGCACTAAAGCCAATAGTATGCTGGTAAGTTAACAGCCAACTCTCAAAAAACAAAACAAAAATTAACACTCTTGATTTGCAGCGTTTGCCAATTTCCATGGTGTAAATGCTCCCACTGTGGCAGATTTCAAGCTATGACACAGCTGCAAGTGGAGCTGGGGAGAAAGATGCACAGTCAGCCTTCACCGCTGAGAACTGACCCCAGAACCCCTCTGTTGTGCCCAAACCCCTCTCTTTGGATGTTTCTTCTCTTGTCCCTGCTGTTAGACTCTGCCCAAACTCTCTTTTTGTAGATCCACATTAGAAGAAAATTAGTACATTAAAGAGGGAGGGATGGCCTTCAGGTCAGGCATGGCTAACAGAGAAAGGCAGAAAACAGAAGAAAGAAAACACAAATCTCAAAATGATTAGCATTCTGGGGCCAACCAGTGCAGAGGCAAACATTTCAGCAACGTGCAATAATGGCTGTTCAGAGGAATAATCTAAGTTATTAACGAAAGAGGAAATGTTTATTATCCTCTTTTGGAAGAGTAGTCTTGATCCAGCAATTCTCCTTTAGCAATGGGTCCTTAGAAACAGTTGTCAAGGGGCTGGGCACCATGGTTTACGCCTATAATCCCAGCACTCTGGGAAGCTGAGGCAGGTGGATCACCTGAGGTCAGGAGTTCGAGACCAGTCTGGCCAACATGGTGAGACTCCATCTCTACTAAAACTACAGAAACACTGGCCAGGCATGGTGGCTCATGCCTTTAATCCCAGATTTTGAGAGGCCAAGGCAGGTGAATCACAAAGTCAGGAGTTCAAGACCAGCCTGGTCCACATAGTGAAACCCCATCTCTACTAAAATATACAAAAATTAGCTGGGCATAGTGGCAGGCACCTGTAATCCCAGTTACTCAGGAGGCTGACGGAGAAGAATCGCTTGAACCTGGGAGGCGGAGGTTGCAGTGAGCCAAGATCGCACCACTGCACTCCAGTCTGGGCAAGAGTGAGATACTGTCTCAAAAATAGAAAAAGATGTTCAAGTGCCCCAACTGACATGAAAAAATGCACAACCTCACTAATCAGTGAAATGCAACTCGGAAACACAATGAGATACCATCCCACACTGGTCAGATGGCCATTTTTCCAAAATTAAAACATGCTGGTGAGGCAGCAGAGGAAAGGGAACACTGCTACACTCTTGGGAATGTGAAAAAAGGTTCACACTGTGGAAAGCAGTATAGAGATTCTCAAAGAACTTAAAACAGAACTACCATCAGACCCAGCAATTCCACTACTTGGTATCTACCCAAAGGACAATAAATCCTTCCATCAAAAAGACACATGCTCTCCTGCATTCATGGCCGTGCCATTCACAAGAACAAAGACTTGGAAGCATCCTAGGTGACCAGCAACAGTGGATTTCATTTTTTTTTTAATGTGGTGCATACACACCACAAAATACTATGCAGCCATAAGAACACACAATTCTGTCCTAAACAGCATCGATAGACCTGGGGGTTGTTATGTTTAGCAAATCAAGGCAAGAACAGAAAACCAAACACTGCATGTTCTCACTATGAGTGGGAGCTAAACAGTGAATACATTCGAACATAAAGATGCAAACAATAGACACTGGGGACTATCAGATGAAAAAAGGAGGCAGAAAGGGGGTGCGGGCGGAAGAACCACCTGATTGGCACTTTGCTCACTGCTTGGGTGATGCGGTCAGTGACCACAAGCCTCAATGTCAAAGGTTCACATGTAACTAACCTGCAATTTAATCCAAATAAAAGTTGATCTTTAAAAAAAAAAAAAGAAAGAAAGAAACAGGGTTGCCCCGGGCACAGTGGCTCCTGCCTATGTGGAGCACTTTGGGAGGCTGAGGCAGGCAGATCACTTGAGATCAGGAGTTTGAGAGAAGTCCGGGCAATATGGCAAAACCCTACCTCTACATAAAGTACAAAAAATTAGTGGGGCACGGTGGTGCACACCTGTAGTCCCAGCTACTTGGGAGGCTGAGGAGGGAGGATCACTTGAGCATGGGAAGTTCAAGGCTGCAATGAGCCAAGATCGCACCACTGCACTCCAGCCTGAGTGACAGAGCCATAACCTGTCTTAAAAAAGTAAATAAATAATAGGATTAGGATATATTATAGACAGATAAGATAGGTGGATGATAGATAAAACCTATAGTTATCCAGGCAATCATGGACTGGCATAAACATAGAAAGACAACTGAATGGACAAAATGAGGGAGCCAGGTAATCAACCCAAAATTGTATTTAGGGCACACATTTTTCAAAATCACACCAAAGGCACAAATATTGAAAAAACTGGGTAAGTCATGTGCAAAAGACTGAAATAGCACCCCTATGTTGCCCAATACACAAAAATTTACAAAAAATAAACTGAACCGTTAAATTCAATCCTGAAAGCAAAACACTCCAAGGAGATAACATGGGATAAGCGTACGTTTGGGGGAAACTTGACCCTGTGTACACAGGTTGCAAAAAGAAAAAAGAGAAGGAAAAATTAGGGGAAAAATATGCACAGACAATAAAATGGCTTAACAATCTCTTTTTTTGGATGGGACACTGAAATCACTGCTAACAAATGCAAATGTAAACATGAGAGACTAAGTACAACATTAGAGCCTCTGCACAGGAGAGAACAAACGAACCCAAAGAGAAGGCATCCTAGACCGGGCATGGTGGTGCGTGCCTGTAATCCCAGCTACTCAGGAGGCTGAGGCCACAGAATTGCTTAAACCTGGGAGGTGGAAGCTGCAGTCAGCTGAGATTGTGCCACTGCACTCCAGCCTGGGTGAGAGAGCAAGACTCCATCGGCGGGGAGGGGGCAGAGAAAAAACAAAAACAAAACCAGCATTGCAAAGATGAGAAGAAAGTTTGGGGAAACATACAGCTGATAAGGCCTTGTTTTACAAAAGGCACAGGCTACTAACACTAGTAACTAGCAAAAAAACTAAATGAAAGAGAAACTAGTAACCGAACCAAAACTGGGCAAAGAGCCTGAATAGATTTTTTGGCAAAGAAGACATAAGACTGACTCTATCTTTACAGAAACGTGGTTAACATTACTACTTCCGCAAAAAATGGAAATCAAAACCATACAAAGCATCTCTTATTTGAAATGAATATGAGAAATAAAAATACAAACACAAAAGCTGGTGTGAATTTCCAGGAAAAAAGAAGTGTTCACGGGAGGGTCAATTACTACATACACTATGGAAAGCAGTTGCAGATTCCTCAAAAAACTCAAAGTCCAATACTATTCATCCTACTACTAGCTACACAGTCAAAGCAAATCAGTATTTTGAAGAGACACCTGCCTTTCCATGTCTATTCCATCGCTATTCACAATAGCTAGGATGATGGAATCCGCCTACCTGTTCACCCACAGATGAAGGATAAAGAAAATGTAGTACATCTATACAATGATATACTCTTCAGCCATAAAAAAAAAATTTCATTTAGGGCAACACCAACAAACCTAGAAAACATTCTGTTAAATAAGCCAAGCACAGAAAGACAAACACTGCATGACCTCACTCACATTGAATCCAAAAACTTAACCTTCAAGAAGCAGAAAGAACAGGAGTGGTCTCCTGAGGCTGGGGAAGGAGGAGAAATAGGAGGGATTGGGGATGGAAACAAAGTTAGTTGGGAGGAACACATTCTAGAGTCCCCTTCCACAGCTGCGTGACTCTGGTTACAATATTGTATTTTTCAAAAAAGCTAGAAGGGAACAATTTTGAGTGTTCTCACCACAGAGAAATAACACCTGTAGAAGGGAATAGTTATGCTAAGTACCCTGATTTGATCATCACCAAAAATACACATGTATCAAAATGTCCCAGATGAGGCTGGGTGAGGTGACTCATGTGTGTAATCCCAGCACCTTGGGAGGCTGAGGTGGGCGGATTGCTTGAGGCCAGAAGTTCGAGATCAGCCTGGCCAACATGGCAAAACCCCATCTCCACTAAAAAATACAAAAATTACCTGGGCATGGTGGCACACACTTGTAATTCTAGCTACTAAGATGGATGAGGCACAAAAATCACTTGAACCCAGAAGCCAAAAGTTGCAGGAAGCCAAGATCATGCCGCTGCACTCCAGCCTGGGCAACAGAGCAGGACTGTCTCAAAACAGACAAACAAAAACAAGAGTCTCAGATGAAAAAAAAAAAGTCCCAGTATACCCTCTGTTTATGTGCCTTATTATAGACAAAACATTTAAGAAGTACAGGCCAGGCATAGTGGCTCACGCCTTAATCCTAGCACTTTGGGGGGCTAAGGCGGGCAGATCAGGAGGTCAGGAGATCGAGACCATCCTGGCCAACATGGTGAAACCCGTCTCTACTAAAAATACGAAAACTAGCTGGGCATGGTAGCGCACGCCTGTAGTCCTAGCTACTTAGGAGGCTGAGGCAGGAGGCTCACTTGAACCCAGGAGGCGGAGGTTGCAGTGAGCCGAGGTCATGCTATTGTGCTCTAGCCTCTTGACAGAGTGAGACTCCATCTCAAAAAACAAAGCGGCGGAATGGGGGGTGGGGGCGGGGCGGACTCGGTGGCTCACGCCTGTAATCCCAGCACTTTGGGAGGCCAAGGCAGGTGGATTACAGGGTCAAGAGATAGAGATCATCCTGGCCAACATGATAAAACCCCGTCTCTACTAAAATACAAAAGAAAAAAAAAAATCAGCCGGGTGTGGTGGCACACGCCTATAGTTCCAGCTACTCAGGAGGCTGAGGCAGGGGAATCGCTTGAACCCAGGAGGTGGAGGTTGCAGTGAGCCGAGATCACGCCACTGCACTCCAGCCTGGCGAAAGAGCAAGAGAAAAAAAAAAAAAAAAGTTTAAATACACAATGCTAATATTAATGGAACCACTAACAGTCCTGAACATCTAAGGAACCCTGAGAAATACAAACTAAGTTGGAGGACTCACAATTCCTGATATCAAATTGCGCTGCAAAGCTGTAGGTAGCCAATATTCCAATATACATTATCCTGTGATGTGCCACGGTGCTCCAGCTTGGGTGAGAGTGACCTGTCTCAAAAAAGAAAAAGATTATGAGAAAATAGGAGGGAATCATAGAAGTGATAACTGGTTGTTATCAAACGTGTATACAGAAAAAAAAAAATACCAAATAGCATAAAAAATACACACCCAAACTGAAATCAGGCAGAAAACCTGAATTGACATCGCTGCAAAAATGATATAAAACGCACAAACACATAAAAGGTCCTCAACATTACTATACGTTAGAAAAGAATGTACTCCATAACCACATTCAGGTACCATCCCACATCTACTGGAATAAATGTAACTGAAAATATCTTTAAAATTAAAAAGAATGCTGGTGTGGATTTGCATAAAGGGAAAATCTTATGCATTGTTGGTGTAAAGATAAATTAGGACATACACTATGGAAAAAGTTGTAGGCCAGGCGCGGTGGCTCAGGCCTGTAATCCCAGCACTTTGGGAGGCCAAGGCAGGCAGATCACGAGGTCAGGAGATCGAGCCCATCCTGATAACACAGAGAAACCCCGTCTCTACTCAAAATACAAAAAATTAGCCCGGCGTAGTGGGCATATGCCTATAGTCCCAGCTACTCAGGAGGCTGAGGCAGGAAAATCACTTGAACCTGGGAGGCAAACACTGCAGTGAGCTGAGACCACACCACTGCACTCCGGCCTGGGCAACAGAGTGAGACTCCCTCTCAAAAAAAAAAAAAAAAGTGAATTCCTCAAAAAATTGAAAATGCAACTACCATACGATCTAGCAATCCTACTACTGGGTATACCTCCAAAGCAAATGAAAACAGTATCAGAGATCACAAAGTCTCAGTGGGGGATAGGATTTTCTTCATTAAATGGTTTTGAGAAAACTGATGTTTATATGAAAAAGAATGAAATAGGACCCTTCTGGTATAAAACACACAAAAATCAACTCGAAATGGATTGAAGACCTAAACACAAGACCTGAAATTATACATAATCATCAAACATCTGTAAGAAAAAAGGGGCTGGGGGATGGTGGAGCACTTAAGTTTTGGGGCAACTTGCATCTAGACTCACAGGCTGGAAACGCGAAAAGAAAAAACAAAAAAAAAAAAAGCAGAGAGTAAAACCTCATGGAGAATGGAATGGCTTGTGAATATATTTATCGTTTAAATCGGGAAAGCGAATCATAGGTAACAAAAGCAAAAACAACCATGTGGGGCTACATCCAACTGGAAAGCTTCTGTACAGAAAGAAAACAGTGAACCAAATGAAAAGCAATCCTACGAATGGGGAAAAAGTTTGGGGGAAGCATCTATCTCCTAAGGGGATGTTATAAAAAACATGCAATAGTTTCACAATGCTCAAGAGCAATAACAACAACAAGATCATCAACCCCAAACTGGGCAGGGCCCAGCACAGACATTTCTGCACAGAGGACATAACACTGAGCAGCATGGACAGAACCAGGTCCTCAGCTTCCTCGTCACCAGGGACAAGTCCCTGTCAGGCTTGCACCTGGGTGTACCTCCCCGTCCCGGTGGTCGTGCCCAGAGGGACTGAAGGGGACACAGGCTTCCCTGAAGGCCGGGGTGGGGGGTGGGGAGTGGGGGCGGTGAAGGAGTCCCGATGTGTCCCGATGGCGCGAAGGCAAATTTAAAAATTCATCAAATCCTGGAGGCAGCTGGCATCTCTTTTCCTCTGTCTGAAGCCTGGCCAGGAGGCAGCCAAACACCCAGGCCTGGCCCCAACTCCCACCTGGGCCGGGCTTCCCCTTCCTCCTGGGGCTTTCCTCTCTCCCCATCTATACGGGACAGGTTCCCTCAGAAAAAGTCCTCAAACCCCAAAAATACCACAGTCTGCTACACTTGCCACCCTCAAAAGCCCTCAGGGAACAAAACTCATGGTAAAACAAATACTAAAATACTAAAAAAGAGGAAGACAATGGAGAAGATGAGAATAAAGGGAACACTGGAGGAACCAAGCTTCTGTACTTACCGCGTAGAAAACAATGCCCTGGACAAGCTGAGCCGCACGCAGCTCCCGCCTAAGCAGTCAGGGCCACAGACAGGAGCTGTTTTCTCCCTAGGACGGGGCTCCAAGTCGTCCCCAAACCGCCGCGGTGCCCCCTGAAGCGCGTCCTGAAGGAACCGGAGCCGCTTTCCTACTCATTCCGGACGCCACGCCACGCACTCCATGCAGTGTCTGCGGTGAGAACACGCATGCGCACCATGTGGGGCAGAAAAGGCTGTTTTAGCGCCCCCTGCCAGTCACAGTGTGGGATGATCAGCCTCAGGGTAGGCATCACCCCACGCCAGTCTAGGTAGGGTAGAAGGGTGCGTTGTGTGACACCAGAGAGCAGGAACTCCCCAACCTATGCATATGGACCTCCCCCTGTGAAGTTTTTTTTTTTTCTTTCCCTGGACAGGGTCTCACTTTTTTTGTATTTTTAGTAGAGACAGGGTTTCACCGCGTTAGCCAGGATAGTGTCGATCTCCTGACCTCGTTATCCACCTGCCTCAGCCTCCCAAAGTCCTGGGATTACAGGCGTGAGCCACCACTCCGGGCTGGTACCAGTCTTCTTAAGGCTTTACCCTGAATTCAATGTTAACCTTGTATCATAAGAGGGACCACAATGACATTTATTGTTTGAGACAGAGTTTCACTCTTATCGCCCAGGCTGGAGTGCCATGAACGGATCTCGGCTCATTGCAACCACTGCCTTCTGGGTTCAAGCCATTCTCCTGCCTCAGCCTCCCACATAGCCGAGATTACAGGTGCCTGCCACCACGCCCGGCTAATTTTTATGTTTTAGTAGAGACGGTTTTTCACCATGTTGATCAGGCTGGTCTCAAATTCCTGACCTCAGGGGATCCGTCTGCCTTGGTTTCCCAAAATGCTGGGATTATAGGCATAAGCCACCGTACTCGGCCTAACATTTGTGTGTCTCAGAACAGGGACTGAAGCAGAGAGATTCATATAACATTCCTAGGTATGTACAGCTTCTCATAGGATTTGAATCCAGGCTATTCATTAGGCACCAGGCTCCGTGCTTTTGGTCAGTCTGCTCTGCTTCCTTTCTACATTCTCATCTAAAGAAAAGCATTTGCCTATAACATCAGTCTGTTCCATTTTAAGTGCTACCCACACTGCAAGGTCTTTCTAGGAGGACCAGGCACAGCGGATCACACCTGTAATCCCAACAGTTTGGGAGGCCAAAGCAAGAGGATAGAGTTTGAGAGCAGGAGTTCAAGACCAGCTTGGGCAACTTAGGGAGACCCCACCTCCACAAAAAACTTGTAGAAATTAGCCCCGTATGGCGGTATGTGCTTGTGGTTCCAGGTAATTGGGAGGCTGAGGTGGGAGGATCACTGGAGCCCTGGAGGTCGAGGCTGCAGTGAGTCATGAGCATGCCAATGCACTGCCACCTAGGTAACAGAGCAAGACCCCATCTCAAAAAGAAAATCTCTCTCTCTGTAGGGACTAACTCTGATTCAGGTGGCTGTACTAAGCAGGTGGTAAAAAATTGGATCAAAAGTTTGATCTGTGAGCACGGCGTGGTGGCTCATGCCTGTAATTTCAGCACTTTTGGAGGCTGAGGCAGGTGGATCACCTGAGGTCAGGAGTTTGAGACCAGCCTGGCCAACATGGTAAAACCCTATGTCTACTAAAAATATAAAATTATTAGCCGCATGTGGTGGCGCATGTCTGTAATCCCAGCTACTTGGGAGGCTGAGGCAGGAGAATCACTTGAACCCAGGAGGCAGAGATTGCACTCAGCCCAGATTGTACCACTGCACTCCAGCCTGGGCGACATAGCAAGACTCCATCTCAAAAAAAAAAAAAAAAAAAGTTTGATCTGTGCGTAAACTATTACTAATTTACCTATGGTCTTCTGCCTGTAAGATTTCAACAGCTATCTTTTTTGTAATTTCCTAGGATCTTGCATCCCGAACATAAAAATAATTCCTGAGGAACTGGCAGAGCCTCTGCCGACTCCAATCTGAGCATTCGACACTTCTGGCCCAACAACACTCACCAGTAATCAGTGCAGTCGATATTTCTCCCTGGAAGCAGACCATCCAAAAACTTCTGACTAGGCAAATAATGAGTGTGCATATCAATCAAAGGTACTGCGGTTATTTTATTAAGTTCATTCAAGCAGAGTGATTCCAGTTGGTTAAGCATTTCGCATTTAATACAAAACTATTCAGATGGAGTTTCACTCTTGTAGCCCAGGCTGGAGTGTAGTGGCTCCATCTCAGCTTGCTGCAACTTCTGTCTCCTGGGTTCAAGCGATTCTCCTGCCTCAGCCTCCTGAGTAGCTGGGACTACAGGCATCTGGGCCTGTCATCCAGGAGACAAAAATTAACCATGCCTGGCTAATTTTTGTATTTTTAGTAGAGACGGAGTTTCGCCGTGTTGGCCAGGGTGGTCTTAAACTCCTAACATCAGGTGATCCACCTGCCTCGGCCTCCCAAAGTGCTGGGACTACAGGCGTGAGCCACTGCACCAGGCCTACACAAAACTTTAAAAATGTTGTGTCGTATTTCTTCTATTTCATATGTGCAACTTTAAGTCAGTTGCCACTACTACAACTATAGAAGTAATGGCATATTTACAACTACAAGTTTCATTCACTTTAAACAGAAAACATCTCAATTTAAAGTCTGAATATTTAGCTCACATTAAACATTAGCTGAGATGGATCTCTTCCTGAAAGTGTTGCCAGAGTTTTAAAACTAAAGAGTTTATGTAGGACAGTTTTATATGAACGTAGAAATTGAACAGAGTACAGAAGGTTCTCAGACCCTCCTCCCTGTTTCTTTTCTTAACTACCTTTTACATGGGTGTGGTCCCTGTGTTACAATGAGTGAACCGTTACTGATACATTGTTAGTAACTAAAGGCCAGAGTTTGCATTAAGGTTCAGTCTGGGTTTTGGTAGTCTAAAGGTTTTGACAAACTAATAATGCCATTCATTACCATTACAAGATAGTTTTACACCCTGAACATTACCTGAGTTTCAGCTATTAACTTCTCTCCCCCTTTTCCAGATCCCTCAGCAACCACCGATGTTTGTACTGTCCCTCTAGTTTTTCTTTCCCAGAAAGCTTATAGAATGGGAATTGTAGAGTATGGAGCTTTTTCAGATTGACTTTCACTTAATCTACATTTATGACTTTTTCATATTTGTGCCTTTTTATCTCAAGGTTTGTTTTTCTTCTTCCCCCAGGATCCTATTTGATTGTTTTTATGACTTTTAAGAATCGAGCCGCGGCTCGCTGGCCGGCGTGGCAGTAGCTGCCTCGCCCCACGGGCGCTGGTAATGCCAGCGAGCTTTGGAGTCGCGAATTTCAGCAACCGAAGCGGCCCTCCACGAGGTGCAGGCTTCAACCCGACGCCCAGGCGCTCGCGCAACATGGTGACAACTCCCGACTCTACTAAAAATACAAAAATTCAGCCCAGCGCGTGGCGGCACTCTGCTGTTAGGTCCAGCTGCACTCGGGAGA